CTAGGGAGTTATTTGGACAAAAATTGGTTTTAACTTGACTCAAGAAACTTAAAAACACAAACCAAAACAGATTTTAACTAATCTAACACTTCAAAGTAAAGGGGGATTGGGTTTTGGACGAAAATTGGGAAATTGGATGGGTGATGGTCTAGCTAGAAGGTCATTCTCCACATATGACACACTTGCATACAAATCAATCTCCAATTGCTTTTCAATAAACCATGAACCTCAACACCCCAAGTTAATTAGGTACGCTTAAATTAACCCTTAGATTTTCCTTAAATCATTGAATTGAATGGAAATAACGCATCGCAATCAAATTATTCCTTAAAAGTTCCCTGCATGAAAGCGCATAATAGAGACACAATCAAAGATCATTAAGTGCTATGAAAATCATAAGTGTTGACAAGGCATTCGTAACTATGAAAGCGCATGATACTTATGCCAGGAATTTACTTAACATGATTGTGACTAACAACCTTTACTACTTATGAATATAAGTTCATAACGATTAGGTGAAAATCCTTTATATTCTAGCATCAAATTAATGCATGCAAACTAAGTTGGCCACCTTAATAACCATACAAGAATAAGTTTTGAAATAAAACAGTTAAGCGAATTTCATTCACAATTTGTCAAATCGCAATTGAAAGAAATCAATTCATATTGCAAGTATAATCATGGTTTCGAATTCCCCTCTAACTATAAAGAAATAATTTTCCTCATGTTCGCAATTAGACAAAAGATAACTTGAATTAAACATTGAAAACAAAGATAGAATACACCTAGAAACACTCCAGATGGCTCCTTATTCTCATTCCTTAGCTGCGGCACAAGAGGATTGTGGTGGATGGTGTGGTGGATGGATGTAGGTGATTTATGGTAGAGGGTGGTGGATTAATTGCTGCACAAAGGGTTGTATTTATAGGGCTAGGGAAACCCACGAATTTCTGAAGGAAAGGAATGTGTATTTGGCATAATTCATAAAGGAAAAGGACTAAGGTTCACCCAAATCTTAAGGGAAAAGGATTGCACAATCCTAAGGGAAAAGGATTGCAGGTTCTAGGGCTTCTAGAAAGGGTCTAGGCTCCAGATTTTTAAGTGCTTCTAGAAAAGATGTTTTAGCACCAATTTAGGGGTTCTAGAAGGATAAAGGTTCTAGAATTTGAAATATATAGTTTAAATGCATAATTATCCCTTAGAAATAGCTGGAATTAAGGCACAAATTGATTTGGATAAGATAGGATAAGATAAGGTTAGGTTAGGCAAGGATAAGATAAGATAAGGTTGGATAAGGTTTTGGATAATGTTCCTTCTTTTGAGCTGATTTCTTATCTTCCTTGACTTGGATTTATTTCTTCACTCTTTTCAGCACATTCCTAGCTTCTTGAACTTCAAATTCGTCCATCCATCTTTCTCCATTCATAAGTTATCCATTTGGTGCCCAAAACTGCCTCAAAATGCTCCAAATTGCACTTTCTTGCCAACTTTGTCATATGGACCTACAAACACACGAAAATAGCTTAAAATACTATAATAAACATAAACAAACTATGAAAATGCAAGAAAACAAGCTAACTAAGTTGCATAAATATGCTCCTATCACGAGTCTATGTTTCTTGACCAAAAGGATACCAAGGCTGCCAAAGAGGTGGCAAAGACTATGGAAGCAAAAACTTATTCATCTACCAAGGAGATCAAGAGGTTGAAATCTGAGCTCGTCGCTTTGAAGGGGTCTAATATCTCTACCCCCATTTCTCTGCAGCTTAAGACCACTTGCCAAAAGATTATTGATTTGAAAACTAAGCTTGACGCAATCCAAGTTACGTATGAAAGTACAGAGAAAGAGATTGGATGTTACATACCTCAGATTCAAGATCTTGAGCGTGCCATCTTTGAGCTTCGTTTCGCTGCTTACGCAAAGGATGAAGAGTTGATTGCTGCTTATAATCAAGTAATCCATTTCAAGAAGATCATTAATAGGCTTGAACCCCAAGGTCCATTAAAGATCAACGAAAGTCTAAAAAATGAAGTGGATGAGTTGCAGCACGTCCATGTTGGTCTACTTGAGGAGAAAGAGCAGTTGAAGGGTGAGAAGGCTGGGCTCATGACTTCGCTTGTTCAAAGTCAAGTCAATTTCTACAAGTTAGGTTATGTAGATTATCTCTTCGGTAGATCGTCTCTGACTTGAATATATGCTGGGAAAGACTTTGAGACTTTCTCTATTTCTCCAGAAAACTTGCTTGCCTTTACTTTCGAGGCTTCCATTGGTGAAGTAGTTGAAGAAGTTGGTGCCCAGGCTGGGGCAGCTGGCACTCCTTTTGCTCCCAATTAAGTTTTTCCCAACATTACTACTCATAAAGACCCCTACCATGCAAGTTGTTCCACCCTGAATGGCAATCAACACCTGTACTCACAGGTTGTAAATTTAACAAGCGCCATCACGCAGCAAACAACATTGACAAACTTATCCTTCTACTAGGTTAGAAATAGAGTATTCATTATTTGCTTCACTTCTCAATAAGCGAAGGCCTTGATGAACTTCTTAAACAGAGTTCAAAAATTCAGAATGGATCCAGGCGGTAGTTCGACATACCACTTCATGGAACTACGCTTTAGAGTGGAAGGGAAATTTTTGCACATCAGGGGGTCGTTGTTGCTATACAAGGCCATGGCGTTCTTGTATGACATGATGTGGCTAGAAGGGTCAGGGTTCCCTTTGAAATACTTCATTAGAAGTTGAGTGAATTTTCCATGCAGAGCCTCCCACACCAAGTTTGTGGATAATGGGTTGTCTTCGATTTGCGATCGGAGTCTGTCATCGGAGTAGATGTGGCTCGACGTTGAAAGATCAAAGTTGAGCCATTTAGGGCTGCTCAGGGGTGCTTTCATTTTAGTCCTCACACCACGAGACTGCACCATTGACGACATCTCTGCATCGGTCACACCGGCCCGCTGGGGCGTCTCAATGATGACTATAATGGGATTTTCCAAAGTATTCAAGAAACCCATTCTGGTGACCGATACTTCGATGTTGTCTCGAGGTCTAGAAGACTCGAGGCTTAATAGGTGCCTTTTGATGTCGTCAAAGGCAGCTCGATTCGCTAACCTATATCAGAATTGTTCCTTTACAAGTCCCTCATGGTGTCAATTAATCCCCCTGAGCATCTCTCTAATAGGATCAAAGAAAGAGCGTAAACATGTTATGGGTAGGGGAGCTTTCCTCTGGAATAGGAGTTAGAGAAGAGGCTCCAGCAACGGTGGCGCTGACTTCGACAGTGGTAGGGGCGATCTCGACAGTAGCAAGATTAGCCTAAATCAGGTCGGGCTGGTCACAATGATCAGCCATGATGTGGGTTTCCATGGGAATATGAATTTTAAAATCTCAATGAAAGCACCAAACTGCTTAACCTAATTTTGTGCAGGTTTCTAGAGTGAATCTGCAAGAACAAAGATAAGGCAAATATCGTGATACCAGACGTCAGAGGGGGGAAGGGGAGGGATTGGTCTCAATGTAAGTGCTTAAACGATCAAGTCAATATTTAAAGAAAGGATAAGCAAACTATTTTAATGAGATCAGAGTGTCTAGTCTTTTGTGAGGAGTCGAGTGGCTTATTTATAGGCATCTTGAGCTCCGTTCTTGAGTGCTTTGCCAACTATCTTACTCGGCAAAGTAGTTGGAGTTAAAGGTACGACTCAGTGCGCTCTGCTACATCAGCAACATGGGTCAAAGGTTTATACCCTGTGCAACATGGGTTAGAGTACCATCAGTCATACCAATCAGATTGGCAATTGTGATTAGGTAGTTAGGATCTAACTGAGGACTGATAGGGTTTGAGTGGAGAGTTGTTGGATGTGATGCTGGAGACCTATGCGTATGCACTCCGGTAGGAGCCTATAAGGTGGTGGACCACATGATCTCATTAAGACTCTGGTTGCTATGTCCGTTTAAGACTCCTTAGGTAACCACCCTGTGTCGATACTTTGTTGTGGTACGACCTGGAGTGACTTGTTCATTCTGGAATGGACTGTCAGAATGAACATGACCCTAGTTGAGAAGGGGACTCCACTTTTGTACAAATCACTTTGCCAAGAGAGGTGGGAATTATGGTCTCACAACGGCCATAGCATACTGTGCGAAGTAGAAGTACAGGAGGAAGATGGTTGCTCCTTGCTTGCTGGGATATTTATTTTGTATGTGTCATTTTTGTTTTGTTTTGTTTTTTTTTTTTTTGTTTTTTTTTTGTTTTTTTTTTGTTTTTTTTTTGTTTTTTTTAAAATAGGAAAGATTAGAAATGAAAACTAAGAAGTGGTAGGGTAGAAAATGTGGGCAATAGTCAAGTTGATTCTAAGTAACTGGAGGTTGTAGTAGAGGAAGCTTGGTTGAGTCCGCAGCCATGGCTAATACGTTAATAGAGAAATAACAATCTTTTTTATTTTGGGTAACAAGGGTTTAAATTCGAACTTTTTTATCACAGGACTGTCTTTAACTACCTTATCACAACGATGACTATTTAGTCAATTAGGCAAAGAAAAAAATAGTAATAATAATTAAGGTGCTCATTGGACACATGTCGTATGTTGATTGGCTGAATGAGAGGATCATTTATCGATCATGTGACAGAGAGTGAGACAAAACATCTCTCTTTTCTTTTGCGCAAAAACAAAAAAAAAAGACCTGAGTTGTCTGCCCTCCCCATCCCATACCCTTATCATCCCCTCTTATTTATGTGGTTCTACGTACGTTTTGTATTGATTTTTTTTTATAGAAATAATAAGACATAAGACAATGGAAAATGTATGGGATGAGGAAGGCAGACAATCCAGGTTCCAAAAAAAAAAAGGAAAATTAATGAAAAAAGTTTGAAAACTTTGAGTTTTAACGATAAGGAAAAAATAAATGGTCAAGTAAATAGTACTAAGATTGATTTTTTTTGTAAAAATATAGTTTTTCGTTAAAGTAAAGTACCGAAGTTTTTCGTTAAAGTTCAAAAAAAAAATAAAAAACAAAATCAGAAGCACAGCAGCAGCAAAAGGTGGATTTTCCTTTTCCTCGCTTCCTCGAAATCTATTTTCCTCTTAGGATTCACTCTATAAGTCCAAATTTTATGCGGCTTATGCCCACTAACTCAGCGAGACAAACTCTACAGTCGAAGGTATGTTATTCTTGCAAATTGAAGAAACCCCAATTTCGAGTTTAAACCTAATTGGGCTTGATTCTTGCAAATTGAATCTGTATTTTCTGATTTCTTGTGGACCTATATTTCTCTTGCTAATTGTTAGCTTTTCTGTTAATTACTGCATTGTTTTGTTCTTGGTGATGATGATTTATTGTGGTAATTAGGTTAGTTGTGTTTTGAATTTTGACACTAAGGTCTTATTTCCTTTATAATTTCCATTTTTATTCGGTTTCTGGGGTGAACCTGCGCCCTAGTTTCAAAAAATGGAGTATATGTAGACCGGCTCATTCAATCTGTTGAAGGTCAAATTCATCCATTACATAACAATGTTTTCTTTAACAGGCTTTCGATTTTGTTACGGTGACAGTCCCTCGGAGAGTGGATTAGGCAGAGATGGCAAATCAAGGTGCAAAGAAGCGCAAAGAAGAGAACGCCCGACACATGGCAAATCTCCGTCGCCTGATCATAGCCTGTAATGTAAGCCTTAGCTGACTGTAGTAGTGGTTATACATAATTTCATGCACAAATCCCATGCTAAGCTTAGTGATGCTGATGTTGTGTTGGGGACATGACAATGTAGGTTTTTTATGTGCTACTAAGGATGCTCATCTTCCATTCTAGTTTCGCCTGGAAAAATTGGGTTGCTTTGCTTCTCACTTCTCTTGCTTATTACTATCCCTATCAACAACTCGCTCAAATGGCAAATCCTTCTTATGGCGATGATGGGGAACTTCTGGATGGTGGCTTTGATACGACTACTGGTGGAGTATGTGGGTATGTTTTCGTTTTTAGTGACATTTCTTATCATTTACAACTCCTTTCTTATTTTGTTCATTTCTTTGCTGATAATTTTAAAAGAAATAGGATAGTGCTAAATTATAGGAATACAACACAGATAATTCCAAATTGTAACTATTTCAACTTTGTGTTATGTGCTTCTCTCATTGGGTACTTAATCAAGTATGGTACTAAATTGTGTGATTTATGTTCTCAAATTGAAAAGTTCTTTATATACAACATTAAAGCTGGTAGGCTTTTAGAATTTGTAGTATGACAATGATTAGAATACATGGTGTTTTTCTCTTATTTGGGAATACAACATTGAACAAGCAAAACCGGATAATTCCATGTTTCATCAATTGTCTCTCATCTACGCTAATGACATCTAACATCCCATACAAGTATACATGCGAAGAAATGTGACATGTATATTTGGGGCATTAACACACACAGGTTTTGTTCATGGTAAAATCTTGACTTTTGGTTGGTCATGCTTTGCAGCTATTTGCATGATGTAATCTATATCACAGGCTTCGTGCAAGTCATGTCCATAATCTCTGGAAAATTTTGGTACACGTATCTGCTGGTGAGATCTCATTTCTTGCTGCCATGCATATATATACCTGCTTAGAACCTTGCTTGGATGCTCTCCAAAGAGGTGGGCACTCATCACCAATCCTGTGTTTACTTACTAGGAATGAGAATCCAAGGTTTAGGTATCATTTTCATTCCTATCATATCTTGCATTTACTAACACACAAGGAACAAAAAAGTAAGTGGGTCGTACGTTGAAAATATGTATTTCATTCCCAATTTCAACTAGGTATTGTTACCAACGGGGGCTTGTTTATCCCTACAGCAACAACAACAAAACATTTTCCCACTAAGTGGGGTCGGCTATATGAATCCTATAACGCCATTGCGCTCGGTTCTGTGTCATGTTCTCCGTTAGATCCAAGTACTCTTAAGTTTTTTCTTAGAGTCTCTTCCCAAGTTTTCCCCTTGGACCTCTGTCCCATAGTTGCATCTTCTAACCGGAGCGTCAGTAGGCCTTCTTTGCACATGTCCAAACCACCGTGACCGATTTTTTCTCATCTTTCCTTCAATTATGGTTACTCCTACTTTGCCCCGGATATCCTCATTCCTAATCTGATCCTTTCTTGTGTGCCCACACATCCAACGAAGCATCCTCATCTTCGCTGCACCCATTTTATGTACGTGTTGATGCTTCACCGCTCAACATTCTGTGCCAAACAGCATCGCCGGCCATATTGTCGTCCTATAAAATTTTTCCTTGAGCTTCAGTGGCATACGGCGGTCACACAACATGCTGGATGCACTCTTCCACTTCATCCATCCATCTTGTATTATATGGTTGAGGTCTCCATCTAATTATCTGTTCTTTTGCAAGATAGATCCTAGGTAGAGAAAACAGTCGCTCTTTGGTACTTCCTGATCTCCGATCCTCACCCCTAACTCATTTTGGCCTCCATTTGCACTGAACTTGCACTCCATATATTCTGTCTTTCATCGGCTTAGGTGAAGACCTTTAGATTCCAACACTTCTCTCCAAAGGTTAAGCTTCGCATTTACCCATTCCTGAGTTTCATCTATCAACATTATATCATCTGCAAAAAGCATACACCAAGGAATATCATCTTGAATATGTCCCATTAACTCATCCATTACCAATGCAAAAAGGTAAGGACTTAAGGATGAACCTTGATGTAACCCAACAGTTATGGGGAAGCTTTCGGTTTGTCCTTCATGAGTTCTTATGGCAGTCTTTGCTCCATCATACATATCCTTTATAGCTTGGATATATGCTACTCGTACTTTTTTCTTCTCTAAAATCCTCCCAAGAGACATTCTTAGGACCCTATTATACGCTTTTTCCAAATCTATAAAGATCATATGTAAATCCTTTTTCGTATCTCTATATCTTTCCATCAATCTTCGTAAGAGATAGATTGCCTTCATGGTTGAGCACCCTGGCACGAACCCGAATTGGGTGTCTGAAACCCGTGTCTCTTGCCTCAATCTATGCTCAATGACTCTCTCCCAGAGCTTCATTGTATGACTCATTAGCTTAATACCCCTATAGTTCATGCAATTTTGTACGTCGTCCTTATTCTTGTAGATAGGCAACAAAGTGCTATTTCGCCACTCATTTGACATCTTCTTCGTTTTCAAAATCCTATTAAAAATGTCTGTGAGCCATGCTATACCTGTCTCTCCCAAGACTTTCCACACTTCGATTGGTATATCATCTGGGCCCACTGCTTTTCTATACTTCATCTTTTTCAAAACTACAACCACTTCTTCCTTCCTGATTCGGCGATAAAATGAGTAGTTTCTACACTCTTCTGAGTTACTCAACTCCCCCAAGGAAGTACTCCTTTCATGTCCTTCATTGAAAAGATTATGAAAATAACCTCTCCATTTGTCTTTGACCGCGTTCTCTATAGCAAGAACTTTTCCATCCTCATCCTTGATGCATTTCACTTGGTTTAGGTCTCTTATCTTCTTTTCCCTTACTCTAGCTAGTTTATAGATATCCAACTCTCCTTCTTTGGTATCTAATCGCTTATACATATCGTTATAAGCCGCTAGCTTAGCTTCTCTCACAGCTTTATTCGCCTCCTGCTTCACTATTCTATACCTTTCACCATTTTCATCGGTCATATCCTTGTATAGGGCTTTACAACATTCCTTCTTAGCCTTCACCTTTGTTTGTAACTCCTTATTCCACCACCAAGATTCCTTTTAGTGTGGAGCAAAGCCCTTGGACGCTCCTAGTACCTCTTTCGCTACTGTTCGGATACAACTAGCCATGGAATCCCACATTTGGCTAACTTCCCCCTCTCTATCCCACACGCATTGGGTGATTACTTTCTCTTTGAAAATGACTTGTTTTTCTCCTTTTAGATTCCACTATCTAGTTCTTGGGCACTTCCAGGTCTTGTTCTTTTCTCTCCCGGTATAACTTTGTTTTCCTCATTAGAAGAAAATCTATTTGTGGTTTTGCCGATCCACTCTTGTAGGTGATCACATGTTCTCTCTTCTTAAAGAAGGTGTTGGCTAAGAAGAGATCATATGCCATTGTAAAATCCAAGATGGCTTCCCCAAGAGGGCTTGTTTATCCCTACGAGGACGATGTGGGTATCATTCCTTTCCCATATCTAATGTAAGTGAACATGCCCAAAGTGTGGTTAACCTTGGTAATCTAGAATCTTCTTGGGAAAAGGGCCATGAGAAATTTAGTGTTTGACTTAGAAGGAAAACTAATCTCGTTTAATTGGCTCTATCTCCCATGTTTCACTGTTACTCAGTCTTTGAGTAATGGCTCATGAAATCTGGTCCCTTTTCACTTTAATTTTAGCTCGTGCGTTCCGATGTCAGGTTTTGGATGATTAACACATAACCATGGCCATGTTTTCCTTTGGTAACTTTATTGTTGTAGGACCTTAATTGGATGAGTTTAGATGGCGTCACTAGAAGATTCTAACAACTTAGGTACTAGAAACATAAGGATCTTTTTGTTCTAGAAAATTTTCAGAATAATTTCCTGCGTAAATCGCCAAAATGATCCCTGAGATTTGCATAACTCATCACTTTGGTCCCTGAGATTGTCCACCATCCATCATTTTGGTCCTTCCGTTAAAAACTCTGTTAAGTGTCCCGGAGCTCTTGGCCTGAACTAAGGCAATTTTCAAAGCTTCGTAACTCAATCGTTTCTTAACCAAATTCGATCCATAATATATCAAAATGAAGATAGGAAAGTGTAGAATCAGATTATACCTATTTGAAAGCCCAATGGTTGCCGGAGATAGCCGGAATATGACCTCAACTGGTCCGCGGGAAAACTATAAACTCTTCGGAAACTGGGTAAACTTTAAACGTTCATAACTTCTTCAATACTTAACGAAATCAAGTGATTCAAAAACGAAAATCATACTTCTCGACGAGACGAAGAGAATAATACCTTTTTCGATGGCTAACTCGTCGTGGTTTGGCCGGAAAATGGTTCGAAAGTGGCTAACTCGAGACCAAGACAGCCAGTTTCGAGCTGTTTTCCGGCCAAACTACGGCGAGTTAGCTGTCGAAAAAGATACTATTCTCTTCGTCTCGTCGAGAAGTATGATTTTCGTTTTTGAATGACTTGATTTCGTTGAGTATTGAAGAAGTTATGAACGTTTAAAGTTTACCCAGTTTCCGGCAAGTTTTCAAGTTTTCATTCGGACCAGTCAACTTTGAGGCTATTTTCCAGCAATCTTCGGCAACCATTGAGCTTCAAAATAGGTATAATTTTATTCTACACTTTTCTATCTTCATTTTGATATATTATGGGTCGAATTTGATTAAGAAACGATTGAGTTACAAAACTTTGAAATTTGCCAAAACTTCCGGCCAAGAGATCCGGGACACTTAACAGAATTTTTAACGAAAGGACTCAGGGACCACTTTTATCTATTTGGAATCTCAGGGACCAAAGTGATGAGTTATGCAAATCTCAGGGACCATTTTGGCTATTTACCCTAATTTCTTTCCGTGAGAAAGAAATAGCTGTTCTACATTTTGTTTTGTTGGTTTCCAGATACCAGGTTTTGGAGCATACAAATCATTTGGTTTCATTAGAGGATTTATGTCTCAAGGTTCAGAGGTACCCTCTCTTGCTTCTGTAATTGCCTTATGGTAATATAGTTTTGATATTCTTGGAATGATTTGATATCGCTTGTATAAATATTAGGGGGGTGTTGAGGATGAAAAGACTCGGAAGAAGAGGGAAAAGTTGGAGAAGAAGGCTTCAAGACCCCAGTTTGTCAAGACAAGAAACAGATAATGTACTTTGAAGGGACTACTCTTGCGCTTGTACCATCGAGTTTCCTCATAAATGAATTAAAACCAACCACTCTAAGATATTGACTCAGGCTGTTCAAACCCAGGAAAAGTATGACCGAAGGCTACACTCACATTTGAGTACTGCTAGTATGAGATGGTGTCTTGTTTGAGTATATGAACTGTGTAATTCTGTTTTGGATGCCTCTAATATTTGAACTGTAATGTGTACATTCCGACTCGGATATATGTAGCGAACGGATACTGCTTCCCGTTTGGGCAACATGCTTTAACTGAATCGCTCAACGAATATTCAGTGTGGCTGCTGATATCGTCGCTTTTGAATACTTTTTAGAGATTAGTCTCAAGATTGATATAAATCTTGAATTTTTGCTGTACACTCGCATGTCCTCGGAATAGTTGTTGCCCTATTTTGTAAGTTTAAGCCAAAAAAAAAAAAAAAAGGGGGAAATTTTGGTATTCCAATCGAACATATTACCATATTATTTCCGATAAATACACGGTAAACCATACGACAAGATTGCATCTTGTGTTGAATAGTTGAATAGTTAATTAAGAATTGGTTTTTACTACTTGTGGAAACACTTACAACTGAACAAGGTAATTGTAGCGTAATTGTAGCGTAGATAGCTCAAGTAAGGTCGTCCTCCATAAGGTTTGATATGGCAACTTCTGTTTAAAACCAATTCTTAATTAACTATTCAACATAAGATTTAGAAAAGTTTGGAATTGTGAATTTAAACAATAAGGACAAGTAATAAAATATCTAAACTAATAGTCTTGGAAAATCAAAGTAAAAAGACACTAAGGTTTAACTGTCACCATTAACAATCATACGTAGCTCTAAAACTTACTTATGAGTTAACACACAAACTTTGAAGAATAGATTTCCTAATACATATTCTACTCGTGATATTCAAGCTAGAACATATATAACATGCAATCTGCCTATGATACTCGTATCAAATATGAATATTTAAGACTCATTAAGTTTTGTGAAAACCTTTTTAAAACCATGCAAGCCTTAAGAGCATGATATTCACCGTAAGTGAACTTACAATTATCAAATCACAAGAAGCTCTATTCAATTTCAGGGCGGTATTCCAACAGAAATTGTATCAAATTACTTGTATAAACATCCTTATAGTGATCAACCATCAAGATATGTTTGTACCCGATTTTACGCCATCGGCCCATGCAATCGAGACCGTTGGATGGAGGAGTTAAGATAACTTCTAATTGATGTTAATCGTGATATTTATCTAACAGTTTTATTAGAATTATCTTGACATTTTCCTATGCAAGATATGTAGATAAAAAGAAAAGCCAAGAGCCATGAGTTGGATCAATGAACTATGATTTTGCATGGATATTGAGATAACAATATTGGTTAGAACCGTTGGATTAGAACGTAGTTTCCAAGTAAATTTGAAGATAAGCCCAAAGGATAAGGATCAAGTGTTCGCAAATTTGATCCTATACTTGTATATTTCAAAGGAAAAATATCAGGTGCATGACATGGCTATCATTAAGGTATAGCACCAAATATTCCAAGGATCAAACACGATAGTTACGATTTGAATATCAAGCAGTTTGTTCCTATAAACAAGGCATTTTGCAACGTAAGGGGCCCTTCTACTCAACAAATAACCCTAAACTCTCTACGCAAAAACTCTCGCTCTACGTGAAATCCCTCTCTCTTTTATGAGAAGACACACTACCCTAATCCTCCTATAAACACATATTCAGTGTGGACTAACAACACTGTGTTTGTTAAGTACTACGTTTAATGTTTGGCTTCCTTTGTCAAAAATTGTAAATGTTACCACACATACTACCTTATACACTACAAAAGATTTGAATCATACATTTGCATTTGCATATCAAGCTTATTTTTCCAGATTCCTTTTGTTTAGTGTAGTTGTCTAATCAGAAATTTTGTTTGTTATCCAACTGTCTAGGCATGCAAATTAAGATAGCCCACATGGGCCATCTGACACTTTTTCCCGAAAATGGATTTTCAACCCCAGATCTCTTTAGATTGATTTTACACATGAAACCTGGCTTTTCATCCCCGCTCTTTGTCTAAAACTCAACCCTCTTTATAAAGCCATTTGAGGGTTCATTTGTTGTTGGGGTTTGAGATTGGAAAAGTTTTTGAGAGTTTAATTTTCATCTCTATCTCAAATCTCCTAAGAGAATCAAGCAAATTTTATGCGTAATGTTCTTCATCGAATATTTCTAAATCTATCTTTAAAATTGCTTGCTTAAATTCGTTTTATATGCTTAGTTGTTTTGGCTAGGAGTTTTACATTTTTAGAAAAGAGTTGATTTTAGCTTTGAGCTACTCTTGTGTTCTTACTTGAAAACCTAGCCACAAAATCACACTCATGCACTAAAACCCCACATCATTGCATATTAGGGTAGCATTGTTTTTGTGATTTTGATTTCTGTTTTAGGTCAAGTTTTTCCAAGTTACAAATCAGTGAATTGACCTGTTTTTTGGATTCTCATTAGTTTCATCTTTCAAGTGTTTGACTGATGAATCCGACTAGACATCAAATCCAGATTTGCACATCATTGCCATTGCCATATCATCATATGCATAGTTTGTGTGTTGGTCTCAATGCCACAAGGTGAAGAGTTCAGGAGGAGCTGCCATCTTGTGAATACTGGAGACAACACTATTTTGGTGCCACAAGGTGAAGAGCTCAGGAGGAGCTGCCACTTCGTGAAGACCGATAAAATCCATCTTGTGTAAGGCAAGGTTGTGCACAAAGGTAAAGCTGCTTTGTAGATAGAAATCTAGGAATTGAGCTTGTGTGGTCTTTGTATGAACCTTGATTATACTAATGGATTGGACTCAGTGGAGAGTCCTCGGTTTTTTAACCCAAAGGTGGGTTTTTTCTGGCCAAAAACTCCCTTGTGGTCAATACTATACATAGCATTCTTTATGACCAAATAACCATTGCTAGAGATAAATGTTTTAGGATTTGCTAGTATTGACACGTTATCCAAGTAAACATAACTCAATAATCAAAGCTAAAACATAACTGAAGATCACATTGTCTTGTTTTAGCTTTATAAGTTTGCTTGGTTTATATGCTTGTGGGCACCTAACAATTTGTACTCTGTTGACTAATATGTTTGATTAGTCAGTACAATTGAATTCAAAGTTTACACTACATATGATGAGCAAGAACTGAATTGTTGTTGACTAGGATAACTTGTAGTGAAGTAAGTTTGATTTGTAGATTTGCATTTGTATAACTGATACGAATCTGTACTTAGTTTACTGGTGAGCTTGACTAGTCAATCCAGCATGCTTTAATTCTTAATTGCTTTGTCTTTGTTGTTTGCATAATGAACTGATATGTAAAAGTGTTCAAGCTTAGGGATTATTATCATGAAACTAATCTAGGCAGTTTCTGATTAGTTGAACATATTGGTCAGCTAGGTTTTGCTTCTGCAACTACACTTTTTATTATTGACTAACTTGTAACTAGTTGACTAGCTCATTTGACTAGTCTACTGTACAAAGTTAAATTTTTATTTGTAAGAGATTTCGCCTAGACCCAATTTCAATTGGTATCAGAGCCTTGCTCAAAATATACATCGAGTGATCTCTGGGAGTTATTAGTATTTGGTGGAACCTAATAGAATGGACTATGCTGCATGGTGTGAAAAGTTTCAAATCTTTTTGAAGGCACAAGATTCAATTGCAGTTGATAACCTCATCTTTGAATGGAGGGCTCCCCAAGGATTATGGATGGTGAATCTATTGAAAAAGCAAAGTGTAATTGGTCCCCAGGTGAAGTCACATCGGTCATGGCTAGTAGGAAGCGAGGAAGAATTATCAGTCGTTCGGACATGCCTTCTATTAGTGAACATGGACCTTGTCTCTCTTGTGGTGGTATTAGGCATCGGGTCGCTGAGTGTGCAAACAACAAGAAACCAAATTTGAAACGTGACAAACCAATGATGGCTACCTAACGTGAAAGCAAGATTGAAGAATCTGTTTGCTCTAACAGGTCATTAGATGGTAAGGAGAAAGCCATTGCCTTTGTTACCTTAGTTGAAGAAGTGTCTCCTGATGATGATGAAATTATGTTGAATGTTACTAAAGAAATATCGCATCTTGATCTCTCTATCATGCGTGACTCTCTGTTTGATGTGACGTGTTGTAAAATTGGACAATGCTGAGCTAACCAAGAAGGTTTATGAGCTACAAAAAGAAGTAGAGTATCTCTAACTAGTCAGAATAGAACAGAGGGAGAAAGTTACTTTTCTTGATGCTTAGCTCCATGGACTAAACGAAATGGCTTTTATCTGTGATGATGAAGATGAAAGAGATGATCTTACTGCTTTTCTTGAAGCTCAGGTTCAAGAATTAATGATATCTTAAGAAAGACTATTACAACAAGTTCATGTGTTGAGGGCCAACAATAAAATGTATCATAAGGTCAACTTGAAGCTATCTTTTGAATTGATTAAGGGTATGTACAAAGCAGATTGTTTGATTCTTAGTGCTGAACGATCTGACAAAATGCTAGGTGTTGGAAGTCTATGTGGTGCCAAGAATAATCTTGGTTTTGTGGAATGCGGTTCATGTTTTGTGGGCACAAGCACATAGATTCTGGATGAATCTTTGCCTATGTCTCCTATGGTTTGTACTTCTTTAAAGACAAGACCTATTCCCACATGTTATCACTGTGGTGAACTTGGTCATATTCAACCTAGGTGCTGAAAACATTCCTCAAAAAGGAAGAATGACTTGAAGAATCAAGTTGATTGACTAGCCGTGGAAGTCAACATAATGGCTCAATTTGTTAATTCTTCTAGCTCTGGCAATATCAAGTCTCGTCCAAGTCATTTTTTGAAGAGTTTCTGATAAATGTCTAGTCACTCACCGTGTTTTTTTTTACGTCCTAAAACCAGATGTTTGGTACTTTGATAGTGAGTGTTCCTGTCTTCTGACTGGTGAAAAAGATGTCTCCTGCAGTTTGCACCTGTTAATAGCGATGAGTTTGAGTTTGGTGAATGATACATGGGTCAGATTGTTGGAAAATGGGTAGTCAAGATTCTTGGTCTTCCTCAGCTTGAAAATGTATATTACGTGGCTGGTTTGAGATCCTGCTTTCTTAGCATCGACCAACTATGCGTTATTGTTGCCGATGAAGTGTGTTTCTTGAAGACATGTTGCATAGTTAATGATAAAAATGGAACAAACTTGCTGGTTGTTTCAAGATCAAAAGAAAATTGATGCTCTCTTGTTATTCCTAAAGGTGGCATGTGTTCAGATTAGAACAAAGAAATTGATAAATCAATGGTTTTAAAAGGGTAGTCACATTTTTCTTCTCTGAATGCCATATGTGTGAA